GGTGTGAAACGGGTGCCGGTTGCTGATATTGGGGTTGCTAATAGGAAATCCCCTGCATGGGGAGCTGCTACAGCTCTAATTCGGGCAGTGTCATGTGGTGTTGTCGCAGCTTCTAGCAAAGTCGCAGCTTCTTGGTCGGCAATGGGGCGATCTCAGCTGGATTGCTTATGGGCTTCAGAAGGCGGAGGCTGGGGTGCTGGTCCTGCGAGAGAGACCCATCTGGTTGTGCAGTCTGTGAAGCTGGGATCATGCACCCATGCCTGTTGAACTAGGTGCTCAGGTAGGATTTCCTTCACCAAGTTGTCAGACGCCACTGAAGAGGACAGGAACGCTGGTACAGCAATTTGTGTTGCTGTGCGCACGCCAAGGCCCCCGAGTCTGACAGGAAGGGAGGCCTGTTTCCACTGTGAGTCGCTTAGGGAAAGATTGAGGGCTTTTTCTAGTGTTGATTTCAGCAAGCTGTTGTACTCTTCTAATTTAATATTGTTGAAAGATGGCGAACATCTTAGAAAGTAGGTCAGCCTTGGGTAGGGACAAGCATCTGGTGATGAGGTAAAGTGCATCATGAGTATCGATGTCTTCAATCCTCTCGTTCATCCTCTTCAGGTCAGTGATCTTCTTTCCAAGGACCTCGTCGATGGCATTCCTTCCAAGAGGAGCACCTAGGAGTGTGCTGTCCTCAGGGTTGGTTGTATGAATGTCAGGCAAAACAACCTTTATTTGCTCTATTATGTGCTGGTTGGTGGAGGTTATTTCGCACTTGGAAGGGTTCAGGGTGAGGCCTAGACTTGCTCCTTGCTCCTGAATTATTCATATGTTGTCCAATAGTGAGGCTGGGGAACCGGCTAGAGTACCATCGTCCAAAAACCAAATATTGAGCTCACTGGACAGGTTATCGGTGACTTCCTTGATGACTAGGCAGAAAAGAAAAGGAGCAAGGGGGTCACCTTGTTGGACACCTTCTTGTGACTCAATTTCATGCTCCCCGAATAGCAGAGTTAGATTCTTGCTGTAGCATGAGTTTACAAACGGGTAGAGGGAAGGAAAAAGGCGATGAACCGCACTGAGTACTGCATCCCTTATAACCAGATTGAAAGCATTTTTGAAGTCCAGCTTTATCAGGGCTTTTTCATCCGTAATGTTGGCAATGTAGACTCTAGCTGCATGAGCCGCTGCCTGACTAACTGCTCTAGCAGCAGCCTTAGCGACGAGACGCCGGAGTGAATTGCCCACAGCTATCGGTCTGATTCCTCCATCTTTTTTCCTCAGGGCACAGAGGGTAGCGCCAAAAAAGAGAGGCCGTATGATCTCTGGTATGTTACCGTGGCAGTCTCCGTGGTGTAGTGGTAAGACACTCGTCTGGCGTTCCGCGAGCGCTATGTCATGGGTTCGTATCCTGGCCGGGGAGGATTTACTGGGCGCAATTCCTTAACTGTAGCCTCTGTTTAACGCAACAGTAAAATGTGTACTTGGATGAAAAAACGATTCTTCGCGGCGGGGATCGTATTCCAGGGACCTGCCCGAAACGCTACGCGTACTAGTGGCTGTACAAGAATGTAACAACTCTTGTATATATCTCAAAAAAAAAAAATAGTAAAAGGCACGGCTAAAAGAATTTGACAAGCATATACAACTCGCTGACATGCTTAAGCTGTGTCAGACGGCCCCTGGCTGCGGCGAGGCACGTATGGTAGCGCTGAAGCGGTCATACCCTTGTCAATGGCCTCATTTCTTACACCCCGCTAAGCCAGGCATGGAAGGTTACAAACAAAAACTGTAAAACTACGCACCTGATATTTTACACAGAAAATGAGCTGGGTGGTGCTTGACCCACCACCCGTGACCTCTCGCTTCAACGGTGTTCCTCTTGATACAACACACTAACTACGCAACCCGTTCTCGCACTTTCGTATGGTCAATATTGACTTATTAAATACGTGCATATGTGACATACTAATTTATTGTGAATATTTTAGTTTGCCTTGAAAAGCTTCATAGAAAACACCGACCTTACCTAACCTTCTTAGTATGTTAAGATAAGCATCTTATTGCTTCGTAATTACAATTATTACTTAACCTATTATAGGTATAGTGTATTAACCCATGCTCGTTGAGAGGGATGAATGCAATATGAATTTGAATTACACTCAGTCCTGCATAAGGATAAAGCTACATCTTTCCGGGAGGATGATTTATTGGGTTTGCCGCCTTTAGTACCAATAAATCCCTCACCTGAACTATATAACATGAGCTATGTAGCTAAAGAACTCCGAAATTCTAGATCTAAAATCTACCTTTGAATCACACCTGCATGTTATTCAGAGTGGACTCGCCAGAGTGGATGTTGGGGAGCGATTTCTTCATTGGATTAAAGGTTGTTTATCCAACAGTAAGTCATGTGTACTCTGTCTAGGAAACTCTAACACATCATTAGTCACACTATAATGATACCACTGCATATACAAGCACTTAACATATGTTTAACTGCATTACACACAACATGGCTTAGTCATCCCAGTTGACAAACGAGATTACATCAGCGCCCATCCAGGTGGGGGAGAAGCTGATCGCAAGATGTAGTTATGATTGTTTACAGCGTGATTATGTAGTCAGATTCAAATATAGTTGTGTTGAGGTGCCCCCAGTGTGCGGCTACGTTGTTGCCAGGCTGAGCCACCAATGTAGAGAGCGGCTCAGAACTCTCAAGGGTGTAGTCTTGTACCAGGTATCATCCCAGTAATGGTGTAAAGGTCTTTGCAAAAGGTATTTACGTTTCACATATTAAGTCCTTGATTGATTATGCCGCACTCCTACTTGCTCTCCAGTCTAGTGTGTGAGAACAATGTTTGGAGAGCTGGAAAATATGCAAAAAGAAGCCACGAGGAAGGAAATTAAGACCACATGCGTGGTCCGAGTTAGGACCACGGACCACGTATAGAGTTATCACGCTATAAACACTCATAGCTGCATCTTGCGATTAACTTCTCTCCACCTGGATGGTCGTATAACTGCTTTTTATTGGCGTTAAGATAACCAGGTTAACCCATCCTAACTCCTGCAGAGAAGCCCTCCAAGCCTTCTGTATCGAAGATCACCATAGAATAAATTACTAACGCTGCCCACTAAACTCGAATTGCATCAGATATATATTCTTTATCAAGAGAAAACAACGCCACTTCCCTGCACTGTGAGACATAACTCACCACCCAAAAAAAGGTGACTAAAAATCGATCCGTGCTTCCACTGAAAGCAAAGTATTGCACAATACCGTGAGTAAGCCAGAGTGATGGTGTACGCTCCCACTACCCAACCAATTACACTGATGATTCCCTACACCGCTCTGCTGATGCTGGCGGAAGTACAGTTGTTGTGACCACGAGAGATTGCTCCTGTTATAAGTGGGTGGAGACTGTGTAAATAACTGGCCTTCCACTCCTCAGACCTCATTACTGGCTATACTCCTTCACTCAAACATTAATTGCAAGTGATTCTGTCATCCCTGAATATACTCAACTCAAGACATAACTGTAACATGTTTGTGCCTGAAGCAAGGCACGTATGTAATCATTAATGGTGTAATCACAGTCTCTCGTCGATTTCATCCCATGTTAGCCATAACAGAGCAGATGAGTTAACCATAACATAGACTCTTAAAGAGGGAGTAGGTTGCAGGCGATGAGTCACAATAACGTGGCTGAAGTATGTTGACCAGACCACACACTAGAAGTTGAAGGGACGACGACGTTTCGGTCCGTCCTGGACTGTTCTCAAGTCGATTGAGAATGGGGAGTAGGTTATCACCTTAGATTGGCCATGAACATTCTAAGGGACAGTAATATACTGGGAGCTCAAACAATTTAGTAGACAAACAAACAAACAAAAATGCATTAGTTATTCTAACTAATCACTATACTACCATGCAGGAAGGGCCATATTTCTGTCAGGTAATGAAGCCAACAGACTTCTACACGTTACTGTTGCCTGGTTTAAGCTCTGCTGCAAGTATCTGGGAGTTTACAGCACCTGCCAAAGTTGATCTGATCAAATGTAAAATTTGTCAGAAAAAGCTATTCACATTTAATCCAAGATAACATATAACTATTAATAGATAACTTTTGATAGATAGTTAATATCATATATATATAGAGAGGTGCCTCTTCTGGTTAGAAACGGGGGACCCATAACCTGGGAAGAAGGGATATACGAAGTATTAGAGAAGATTTTTAGGTCCCCACCAATGCAGGCTAATTTTCCATGCCTCTCTTTCCTACTATCCCCACTTACTCTTGAAACTATTTATGAGCTAAATGAATACTGGGATTCTGTTTTCGAGACCATATTTAATGTATCTGTATACACTTGTAATCACCGTTCACAGCATGGGGTCTGAACTCAGAGATGCAACAGGGAACTAATTTCCTAGCTCCTTCCAGTGATGTTAAGTCACTCATGGACTTACACTCACTACATGGACCCAGCTGCCCCAGTGGTGCCTCACAACTCACCCTCACTACTCGAGACGTTACACTTGCTACAGTTATTGTACAAAACGTGTCAGTAAATATTAGTGGAATATAGCAGCTAGGAACAGACAGGTCTGGGTTCCACATTTCACAATGAATTAACCTTGTACCACTTAATCACCGACGCATCTACTTTCACAACCTATTATACTTTCTTGTATCTAAATAAATAAACAAATAAATAAATACATAAAATGAATGAATCTAGAAATGCATATACACCACAATGACATTACCCTATACCTTTCGTCATAATTATTTACGTTAATAATTCATAATTTTGTTTATAAGGATTTTGCTATTTGCTTTGTATAGGTAAAATACAGTGACCGTAAACTTACAGTAAAGACGAGAAGCAACACAGTAAATGAATTACTACGTGGAGATAATATATGGATAAGCACGATAAAGTAATAGATATTACTGCGTGGCAGTAGGCTGGAGGATGCGGTACGTCCTTTTTCCGATGACGGGAGTTGCGTGCGATCACACTGTTAGTGTCAGTCAGTGCTTGAGTGTGTCGGGGTGAGGGGAGTGGCACTCCTGCTACTGTATGTGACGTGTGCCAGGTTAGTACCACACTTGTTTACTCTTACATGAGAGTTGCTATCGTTGTACTGCACCACTATGCGGGAGGTTTAGGAACAGTGAGAGTGAATGAGAGCGGGCTGGGCAAGGATTGTGTGGTAGGGATAACGAGGTTTAAAGAGGATAGGCTGGTTGGGTTGGGCGCAGGAGCCGACGCTGGGTAATGGGACTGACTGCCAGGTCTCATGCCCTGGTGCTGGCCGCATTACTAAACACACTCACGCACATGTACGCGCGTGTGCGCACACACTCACACAAAGAGTACCCCAAGTGCTCGAGTGCATAGTGTGATTATAGTTTCCCTTACCGGGGACAAGAAGCCTGTAGGTAAGTGGTATCTCGATAAGTGGGCTTATCGAGATGCGCCTAGTCCTCACCTTCCCCGGGATGCCACCTACAGCAGTTGACTAACTCCAGGATACCAGTTTCGCTGCTAAGTGAACAAAGGCATCAGGTGAAAGGAAACGTGGTGCCCAACCGTTTATGCCTTGCCCGAGGGGCCTATACCTGTATTTGGAAGTAACAAGCGTAATTACCCGTAATAATAGACTACAGATTAATATTACTGACCTTGACCTACTGGCAAGAAAATAAAAGGCATATTTTAAGTTGTGTTCCCACCTCCAGCAAACAATGGAGGATCTGGTTCCGCTCTCCCCAGAAAGGCTGTCGTGGACGTGCTTTATATATCTTTTTGTAATAAAATATCAGTAGCCTTTCAATATAAAAAATATATCAGTTGCCTTTCAGCATCAGAGTGGTCTGTCATTGCTGTTGTAATGGCTTCTGTACACGTTGCCTTCTTGCACTAGTTTTCTAAATTTACTGTGTTAACCTGTGATAAACTGTTCATTGTTAAATTGTTGGGTGAGGAGTTTATTTAATAATTTTTTGTCAGTTTTTATTAGTCAGAAAAGAAAGAAGTCGCTGACCTGGAGGAAGAAGTGATCCACCTTAACCCTACGAGCGAACAGTCCTCTACAATAAGAGACACCGTTTGTTAATAGGTGTTAACAGTGTCCTCTCGTGTCCTCAGGTCATGCTCGGGTGAAGCATTTACAGCGTTGTGGTTCGAACAAAATTCGTCAGTGAAGCACTTGTTCCGGATATGTTCGAACGTCAGCAGTTGTGAGTCGTGTGTAAACCGCTTTTCATTCATAAACAGGGGGTTTGGCGGGTGCATGGAATCACTTTTGGATCTTTGTTTGGAGGACGGGCTGAGCATTTATAGCGTTGTGGTTCGAACAAAATTCGTCAGTGAAGCACTTGCGCCAGAAGTGTTCGAACAAAATTCGTCAGTGAAGCACTTGTTCCGGAAGTGTTCGAACGAAATCAGTTGTGAGTCGTGTGTAAACCGTTTTTCATTCATAAACAGGGGGTTTGGCGGGTGCCTGGAATCACTTTTGGGTCTTTGTTTGAAGGACGGGCTGGGATGTAAATGGACTTGAGTCGAGGACGGGCTGGGGCTCGCCATAACCCGTGCTACTTGGAACTTGTGTTCCGAGTAGCTGATTCTAAACAACAATATATATAAGACAATATGGGGTGAAAAATCATATTAAAATGAGTGACCCGAAAATGTCCATTATATCGTAAACCTTTTAGATTTAAGATTTATCTTAGCGTGTAATAGACTACTAGTCTCGGTACAATTTTAAAATCGCACATAAATAAAGGTTTCCTTTGGAGAACTTTGTACCCAAAGGGTTCCTTTCCGTTCTGTTTGTTTTATAATATTGAAATACTCTTCATAAACAAACTTTGTAACTTTAAGCACAATAGAGCACGCGAATACTCACGAGAGTGGGGTGAGAGTTCATACACGGGGCCTGGCTCATACATAGAGGCCTGGCGGCTGAGTGGACAGTGCTCGGTATTCGTAGTTCTAAGGTTCTGGGGTTTGATCCCCGGCGGAGGCGGAAACAAATGGGCAGAGTTTCTTTCACCCTGATGCTCCTGTAAACCTAACAGTAAATAGGTACCTAGGAGTTACAGCTTCTACGGGCTGCTTCCTGGGGTGTGTAACATAAAGGAGGCCTGGTCGAGGACCGGGCCGCGGGGACGCTAAGCCCCATCTCAAGATAACCTCAAGATGGGTCCAAAAGTATAAATTAAGTATTCTTGCTGGTTGATCAGTAAGATATTGTGATGCCTTAATAATCCTCCCGCGGTTGATAGTCTAGAAGTCCAACTACAAACCACATTCGTTGTGCGTTAAAGACTTAAGAATTATGTATTGGAGACTTGACCTCTCGTGAGTCCTGGTGAGTAACATGACAGTGGCTGTGTTATGAGGGATGACACAAGCCTCGTCAGCCTAGACCCAGCCAGATACAACCAGCCCCGGAGAGATGACCTCACCCATTATAAGTAACAAAGCGAAACTCGTGCTCCGTGTATTAATTATCATATATATAGATACAGTCTTACGTAGGTGTTGTCCAGCATGATAATACAAGGCAGCTCAGTCTGAATGTAATAAAACCTGAAATTGAGGTAGACCTGTGTTCTAATCTCTGTTGTTTAAATCCGCACTATTATATTGGGAAACAAAAGCACTGCAGAGCACTTTTAGAGTCACAGAAAATAACTCCACCACAATTGAGCTTAAGGTATTCAGTGGCTAGATAAATGCCCAATAGCTCGGTCTGTGTCGTGCTTGCCCAGTTATTCAATCTCTGTGTACTAGTCATGATCATTTCATTCCCTTTATATACTGCACATGCACAACCTGTTCTACCAGTGCCTAACTGCACAGAGTCATCAGTAAAGGCATAGGATTCAGTCAGTTTGAGAATTCAAAGTGCGTATGACGGGCAGTGGAGGAAATTAAGGTGTGTGAGAGGACCTTGGTAGTGACGAGTAAGGACCTCTTCACCTTGGCTGGTCATCACAACCAATACACGCCCCTTTTTTATCGCTGAATCATTTCATCGCATTTGTTCCTCAAGATATAGTGATGCTCTGAAGTGGTGTTTGCTTCCGGCCGGCTCCACCCCCGTACATCCTCTAGCACGCTGGCGGCCACCCCTCTATATGACTACCATGACTCCTCTGCCAGACATCACCCCCATCCTGAATTGTTCTCACCTAGTTGAGCTTTGGCTCTTTGGTCCCGCCTCTCAACCGTCAATCAAGTGGTGTACAGATTCCTGAGCCTACTGGACTCTGTCATATCTACACTTGAAACTGTGTATGGAGTCAGTCTCCACCACATCACTTCCTAGGATTAAGGACTTGCCCGAAACGCTACGCGTACTAATGGCTGTACAAGAATGTGACAACTCTTGTATATATAATTAAATAAAAAATAAATAGTGCATTGCATTTACTAACTACACTATCACGAAAAAAGTTCTTTCTTATTTCTCTGTGGTTCATTTGGGTACTCAGCTTCCACCTGTGTCTCCTTGTGCGTGTACCACCTGTTTTAAATAATCCATTCATGTCTACCCAGTCAATTCCCCTGAGAATTTTGTATGTAGTGATCATTGTTGGGCGGTATTGTTGATATAGCTGTAGCGAGGCCACGTCAGGGAGTTCCAAAACTGGGAGTGAGGTAGAGACGCTGGTAAAGATGCCGTATGTGTTGGTGAGTCTGCCCGAAACGCTGTAAGTGTGAGTGGCTTTGCAAGAATATAAAAACACAAAGTTAAGTATTCTCACAAACCTAATGTACCTTCTCTTGTATAAATAAATAAATAACATGTTTTAACGAGTGTCAAGGAGGTGTAATGCTGGGTTTCCTGGTTTCATTAATTCCTCACTCTCTTCTCTGAGGGATTGTCGGGCACTTGAGTGCGTGTTTGTGTTGATAAATATTATGTGTTTGTTGTTTCATTTTTCGTTTATTTATTTTTTTGCGGGGGGGGGGGGGGCAGTTTTTTCTGTGCATATTTAGGCCAGATTTTTTCTATGTACATGCCTTTGTACATAGGCATGTACACAGGAAGGGGCCTGAAAGCTGAGTGGACAGCACTCGGGATTCGTAATCCTAAGGTTCCGGGTTCGATCCCCGGTGGAAGCGGAAACAAATGGGCAGAGTTTCCTTGACCCTGATGGCCTATTCACCTAGGAGTAAATAGGTACCTGGGAGTTAGACAGCTGCCACGAGCTGTTTCTTGGGGATGTGTAACAAAAAGAAGGCCCTGGTCGAGGATCGGGCCGCGGGGACGCTAAGCCCCGAAATCATCTCAAGATAACCTCAAGGCCAGCTACTGAGCATTGTGTGTTGAGTCAGATATTCTTGTGTGTGTACACGTACGGCAGATATTCTTGTATACTTAACTTGAGGTGCTTCCGGGGCTTAGCGTCCCCGCGGCCCGGTCGTCGACCAGGCCTCAACTTACCTGTCAGTGGCTACAGGGACGTGAGCATAAAAGAATAAAGGAAACTGCTGGTCTATTGACCCATATGAAACAACTCCTATTTATATCCTCTGAGGTAAAGAAGAGCATTGCCAGACTTGTGGCCTTATTGATCAAATAATTACAGTACAGTTACATCCTGCAATAACACAAGTCATATAATATACAATACTTATATAAGTTTAAGCACTGTCTATTCACTATAACAATAAGCAAACAGCACATGACTAAAGCTAGAACAAATAGAAATTAAGCTAGAAGTTAACATTCCACCAACCTGTACACAAGCACGACACAGCTGATCTGACGACACAAACAAAACAGTCAAGCGAGCATCCATCCTGTACAATAATATCTCCATCTCCGATACAGTATATATAAAACTTTTAATACATCCTCCAAACTCATTCATATATATGTGTAATCTATGCTTGCAACACTTCATCGATCCCACATCTGTTATGTTACCTGGTAATTTGTTCCATAAATCAACACCTCTGTTGCCAAGCCATTTCCAATCCAGGTCGTTTCTAAATCTAAACTTCTCCAGTTTGTATTAATTTTTTCGAGTTCTATTTCGCATTGATATATTTAAAACTTTTATATCCCCCTTTGTTATATCCTTTTATCCATTTGCATGCTTCAATAATGTCACCTCTCACTCTTCGTCTGTTTGTAGAATGTAAATTAAGCTAATTAATATCTTTGTAAAAGAGGTAATTCCTGGGATTAACTTTGTCATCCGTTTCTGTACACGTTTTATGAAGTCCTGTAGTACAGTGGTCTAGCTTCTTTCTTGACTCACCATCGGAGATCCAGGGTTCGATCCCCGGCCGGGACAGAAATAGATGGGCACGTTTACTTTCACCTAACAGTAAATAGGTACCTGCCACTGGCTTCCTGTCTCCGGCAATGGGAACACGGAAAGAAACACTTTTGTTGAGATTTCTGAAACCTACCTTTCTTTGGCATTGTGACGTTCACCGCTCACATTGTAATCGTGTTTATGTGGGCCTTTGGGGTCGGGTGTGATGTCCAACTCGGTCCGTCCGGGACCATTCTCAAGTCGATTGTGAGAATGGTCCAGGACGAACCGAAACGTCGTCGTCCCTTCACCTTCTAGTGTGTGGTCTGGTCAACACTGGAAGCTGTGTCCCTTTTAACTCTGGAAGCTGTTTCTCTGACTCTGAAAGTTGTCTGCCTGACTTTGGAAACTCTCTCCCTCTGGCTCCGGAAGGTCTTCCCCTGATTCTGGAAGATGTCTTCCTCTGACTCTGAGACCTGTTTTTTTCTAACTCTGGAAGCTATCTTGCTCAGAAAGCTGTCTCTGGAAATTACTTGTTGTCATTTCAGCTGATATAACACTTCGGCTTCCATTTACCTTTTGCCATCTTCGTTGTTTTGGGTTGGGTTGAGCTCCAGTAGCCACTTGTCACATCATTCCTTGCATCTTGTCCACATTTTGCCGTGTTCCGGTAGTTTTCCTCAGGTAAAGTTCTCTAAAAATTTACGTTATCATATAGGGAAGGGAACTATGAAAAGGAAGCTATTAAGACAATATAGCACTGGGAAGGGGGGTCAAGATAAGGATTTGGGATGGGACGGGGGGAAGGAATGGTGCCCAACCATTTGGAAGGTCGGGGATTGACCGTCGACCTGCATGAAGGGAGACCGTCGCTTGACCGTCCAGCCAAAGTGGCTGGGCACGTTATCATCAATCATTTACATTTACAATCATTTACAGTGAACTGTCTCTCAAGGAAGGTGGTTCACGTACGTCAAGAACAGTATAGATCAAAGTACTGACCCTTGAGGGACACCGCTTGTTATATCACTTGTTTTATGTGTGTGTGCTTATTCACATCGTTATGCTTGCGGAGTTGAGCTTCGGCTCTTTTGTCCCGCCTCTCAACTGTCAATCAACTGGTGTACAGATTCATGAAACATACATGTGCGTGCGTGTGCGCACATATGTACGCACTTGCCAAGTGTGATTGCAGGATAGAACCTCAGCTCTCCTTCCATTTTCTTGATATTAAATTCAATAAATTTTTAATTTGTTTAAGGATCACTGTCAGTCTTTTTTCTTGTTCTTCCAGTTAAAATTTATGCATTTCTCTAACAGCATATTATTTTTATAGCTTCAAATTGAAACCCATTTTTTTTAAGCCATTCCATATAACAGTAGATACATAATTTATTGATTCATGTGCTTTATGAAGTTTATATTACTGTAGGCTATAACGTATTTATTTTTTCTAGGTTATGCACCGTGGGTATAATGCACCTACGGCGAGTGGCGAAGGCATGGCGACTCCACTGGCTGCTCTTACTCTTCATCTGTATTCTAGTTGCTCTCAATATATTATATACATCATTCACGAAGAGAAACCACCTTAGGTCTAATGTGCATGATCAGGCAGTTCTTGGTTCTGGGCAGTTCGTGTCTCCTGATGCATATCTTCAAGAACTTCACCAAAAAGGGGCTCTGCCTCAGTTGCTGTCTGTGAGAGAACGCTTGACCCCCCCTGTACCCGTCGTTAAGAAGGAACTCAGCTTTGGTGTACACGAGGAGGAGAACTCTGCTCGAGAAGTTCTGGATATGGAGGCCAATGAGAGAGATGTTAAACAGGGTCATATACTGGATGCTGATGCTGCAAATGAAGTAAATTCGGTTGAACCTGATACTAATGGAAATCATTTGGAAGATGAAAATATTGACGAAATGCAAGTAACAGAACTAGAAGCACATGACAGTTTTCACGAGCTTCCCTTGCAACAAGGAGATAATTTCAAAGTAGAGAATGCTTCATTTTCTTGGGGAAGTGTTCAGAACTGGAGATCTTTAAATGAAGATGAAGTACAGAGGTTGTCTGTATTGGGACGAAGACTGTATTTAAATGAAAAAATAGGTAAAGTGAAAAATAGAACTTTTAGTATTTTAGTTTGGAAAAGTGGTCCTGCTATTGAAAGACGTTTACTCAAGGAATATGGCAAGAAAAGAAAAGACCCCTTTCGTAAATGTTCTGCTCACAACTGCAGGCTTACTTACAGAGACGAGGCAGCAAAGACAGCAGATGCTATTTTGATCCATCTCCATCGCACGGAAGGACCTCACACCTTCCCAAACCGAACCAAAATAAGTCAAAGATGGATCTGGTTAACAGATGAGTCTCCATACAACACCTTTATGGTGGCTAAAGATAATAATATGGCAAATTACAATGGTTACTTCAATTGGTCAATGAGCTACAGGATGGACAGTGATGTCCCAGTACCGTACGGTAGAACAGTGGAGATGTCTCCAGACGAGGCTGCCTCATATCAATACGTTGATTATTTCAAACTAAAGCCAAAAACTGTAGCAATACTAGGATCAAACTGTGGGGGTATAAATAGAAGATGGGCATATGTGAGAGAACTGAAGAAGCACATGGAAGTAGATGCATATGGAGGCTGTGGCAACCTGAAGTGTCCGGGACATTTCACTAAGGACTGCGAAGCTCTTAATGACTACAAATTTTATTTAGCATTTGAAAATGGAGATTGTCGTGAATATATAACAGAGAAGGTAAGCATGTCTATATTCCTATGTAACTTTTTCAATGATTCAACACTATTGGTCTACAATATTTGAAATGCTATTATGTACAGTATGTATATACTGTATATGTATCAGATTGTTCTTGTGCTGCTGGTAACGTCTTGTGTTCCACTAGTATTTATCTTGGTGGACAAATGCAAGATTCATTATGATATCCTTGGCTTTTATTGGTCACCATCTTGTGTAATCTTTCTGATGTTTATTTTCATTTTTATAGGCAGGGAAGGTAGTAACGTTTTTCTGAAGTTTCTCAGAAGACTGACTCAGATTGTCATCTCCCGATCTCTTCTGGTATGCAAAAGGACTTTTTTGTTTTTTGTTTTTTTACTTTCTTTTACATATAAATCTGTATAAAATCATGATGAATGTTAGTGTCACCCACACGTGACTTTAACTATATAAGTGTAGTAGTTGTACTCACGTTAATTGCATATTATAATTGTTGCTGATGCTAGGACCAGTTTGGTGGTTATTACTGTAGTAATTATGAGATGGATACTGCACCGATTAACCTGGCAATGATCAATACCTGTACATAAGGGTCTCGGTTGTATAGTTGGTTTCATTCTTGACTCACAAACAGGAATCTCCAGTTCAAATCCAAGAAGGAACACAAATGGTTGGCCACACTTCCTCTCGCCTAATGCTTCAGTTCACCTAGCATTAAATAAGTACCCTTGTGCACATATATATATATATATATATATATATATATATATATATATATATATATATATATATATATATATATATATATATATATATATATATATGTCATACCTAGTAACCAGAACGCACTTCTCGGCCTACTATGCAAGGCCCGATTTGCCTAATAGGCCGAGTGATTTTCTTTATTTTCAATAAATTGTTTCCATTTAGTTTTTTTTAATAATTATTATTATATTATATTAAGACCATAATTTATTGACTTAGTTGTGATAGTTTAGGTTGGGTTAAGATAGGTAACGTTAGGTTAGGTTAGGTAGGGTTGGTTAGGTTCGGTCATATATCTACGTTAGTTTTAACTCAAATTTAAACAGATTAACTAATACACAATGAAATGGGCAGATTTATCATTTCATAAGAAAAAAATTAGAAAATTATATAAATTCAGGAAAACTTGGCTTATTAGGCAAATCGGGCCATGCATAGTAGACCAAGTACGACGTTCTGGCTACTAGGTCCAACATATATATATATATATATATATATATATATATATATATATATACACCTGTCACAGGTATGGCATCTATATAGTAGGTATATAAAAAACATGCACGTATTCGAATGGAACGTTGTGTTAAAATTTCAAAGCAATTGGTGAAGAACTTGCAGAGATTACAGCCTGTGTTGCTCTTACATCTAAAAGATGGTGCTGTTTTTCAAAAAAACATGTTTTTTCGTGTCATAGGTGAGGCATGTATATAGTTGGTATATAAAAACACTCACCTATTCGAATGCAACATTGTGTCAAAATTTCAAAGCCATTGGTAAAAGAGGTTTCGAAGATTTCCCTCACATTAAAAACTTAGTTTTTCCAAAAAAGCCAGTTTTTTCCCGTCACAGACATGACATCTATTTAGTATGAACATAAAAATTCGCTTGGATGCGAATGGAACGTTGTGCGAAAATTTCAGAGCAATCGGTGAAGAACTTTCAGAGATTAACGATTTTGAACAAACGAACATTTACATTATATATATATATATATATATATATATATATATATATATATATATATATATATATATATATATATATATATATATACTAGCTGTAGCTGTACCCGACCACGCATTGCTGTGGCCCAGCAACGCATGTGCGTTCCCCACTCCTCCGTCCCCTCGTCCTCCCCACCATTCCTTCCTCTCCTCCTTTCAGGAGGCCTGGTCGACGACCGGGCCGCGGGGACACTGAGCCCCGGAAGCACCTCAAGGTAACCATCCCCTTGTCCTTCCAACCATTCCCCTCTCCCCCATCCCCTTGTCCTCCCCACCATCTCCCACTCTCCTTTCCCCTCATCCTCCATACCATTCCCCCGTCCCCTCTTCCTCCCCCACCATCCTCAACTCCCCTATCCCCTTGTCCTCCCCCCACCATTCTCCATTCCCTGTCCCCTCGTCCCCACCATCCCCACCTCCCCCGTCCCCCTTGCCCTCCCCTCCATTACCCCCTCCCTCCATTGTGTTGTGCTGGATGAATCGGGACATGCCAGTAAGCATCCGAGAGGTCCAGGGACACCATCCAAATGCCCAGCTCCAAGAGGAGACAGATCTGGAACAAAGTAGTCATCCAAAAGGAGTGGCAATAAACCCACGGGTTCAGACAGAACAAGTCCAGAATGAACCTGAGGTCCGTGCAGTCCCATTTTGGAACCGGAAATAGGCGGGAAACCCAACGGAGGGACGAGGTTGTTTCAACCACGCCCAAGCAAACCCACTCCAAAAGAACAAAAGACCAACCCTCTAGTTGATCTTTTGACCACACTGGACCACACTGGAAGTTGGTCATCTAGACTCTGAGATGACCTGACAGAGCACAGGAGACGAGGCCTGCCCCACCAACCCCGAACCTCCCGAAGGAGCAGGGGCCACCCCAACGCTACCGCAGGCTGCACGAAATGACCCGAAGGGCTCACAAATCATTGGACCAGGTGTGTGAGCAAAGAGCGAGCCTCCTCCCATCGCTCAGTCAATGGAATTAACTGTGAAAGGGCCAATGCCCCTTACGTGAACCCGACCTCTGCACAGAGCGATCACCGTGCAGACCAGACGGAGCCGGTTCTGAAGGCTGAGCTGGCTCCGAAACCTGGCACCACTGGCATAGCAAAGTGGGAAGAACCCCGAGCCCTGGCACGACCCTACCGGAAAGACTCCCCACCGGCCCCCCCTGGAGAACCAACAAGTCTGACATGGGACGACAACTAGACGAAGCTGCCTGCAAATACTGCACAAATGCAGACTCTGCAAACAGCAATGGGCAAAGAAATCCTAAGAGCCAGGGGCCCAAGCGGATTCCACAGAAGAAATAAACACCGTCTGCCGACACAAGAGAAGGGAAGCAAAAAACAGCGACGCCACATCCAGCAGGATCGGCGCGACCAACTTCAAAAGAGCAGACGACGCATGCACTGCTGAGGTCAATGCACCAGACCCAGGAATGGCCCCAAGCATCTCCACGTCCTCCTCAAAGAACAGCTTGAGAAGGGAAGAGAACCACAAGACCGAAGCCTACAGGCCACAGGCGTGCAAGTCCTCAGCGACCATCGCAGCCGAAAGGGAAGGAACCTGCACAACACGGACCTCCTGAGGAAGGGCAGGGTGAACAAGCACACATTGAGGTGCTCAAACTCTTCCCCCCTCCCCAGGAAAATCTGGACCACCATATGAGCCTAATGCCCTCAAGTGTGCGGGATCAACAGAATGAACGCCATGCCTCCAACGAGAAAAAGGGGCAGTCCGCAAGCCAGGACGACTGTGGAACCTCATAACGAACCCAGTAGGGAAAAGATGATCCATACATGAAGGAAGAAGGATCCATTATGAAGGCGTAATCCGGGTCGCACAGGAGGTAAGTCGCAAGGGCCTCCCACACCACATGAGGCCAGATGCGAAAGGCCAAAAACCTCCGGAAAGACGGAACCAAACCCCAGGGAGGGGATAGATGCTAAATCCAACTCGTACGAAGAAGGGGAAAAGGAAAACCCCACTCCTTGTAACACCAAGGGTACAGAGGGTACCCTCTGTGCTCAGAGGGTACAAAAACCCAAGCAGAGTCCAACGGGGCCCAAGGCCCCCCAAGTCAATCCCTTCCCTGCCTCGAGAACCTCCCCATGAGGACCCGGGGTCAGGCAGTCCTCCAAACCCCCCGCCTCAAAAGAAAAGGCAGGAGCTGCTGAAAAAGCAGGAATGAAGGGGGCCCCACTGGTCAGACCCAGAAGCTTCGGCTGGAGGATACAGCTCGAATGCTTCCGTTTCGGGAAGGGGCATTCCTCGAAACCGCCAGAGTCTCAACACAAACTAAACCCAGCACCAACCCCAGAACCCTCAGACACTTCGGAGCTGGAAGCAAGGGGGAAGGAACAGGACGAACATCAGCAGGCGAAGGACAAGGGGGGTGCAGACTGAACCAAAGTCGAAGTGACTAACTCCCCCAAGTCTGGGTCCCTATAACCAAAACGGAGCAGACTCTGGGCATCTGGTGTAGCAACCAATCTAGCACAATGCAGCAACCTAAACTCAGCATGACATGCCGAAGCTGCCTGCACCCTCATATCGTGATCAGTGGACTGGGTGAATTGGAGTACAAACAAGGAACAAAACTCGCAAGACTCCGGGTCGAAAGTGTCAACAACCCTACAGGCAGAATGGCGGAGGCACAACTGGTGAGTGTCACCCTGAGACAAGGGGACAGAGCAACCTTCAAACTTGCACGAAGTGAGAGGGGACCCAAGGGTCGCATCCATCGGACCAAAGAGCCCTCACTGGGTTTCCCAGGGTCCTTTATCACGTTATCTTGTTAAGGACAGTGCAAGCAGGGTACTTGCTAACTTGCACCCAAAAAATACTAAACAAACTGCCAAAGCTGAACCCCCGGGACGTGTACTCACGGAGGACCTAGCATAGGACCACCAAGATACAAAAGGGTGTGACCAAACAAAGGGGCAGACCTCCTACCAGGCAGGAAACAAAAATTAAAAGAAAACCCAGCACGAGGACAATGTGCCCAGGCGGAACAGAGCCGGCTGCTATGAGAGGTGAAAACTAGTTGCACAGTACCCTGTGTACAGTACCTGTACCTGTACCACAGTACCTGTGATGAAAACTACCCCCCTACTCAGAGGCAAAAAGAGGTGTACGAAACACCTCAGGTGACTCCACAGGGCAGTCAATTACCGAGCAGCAAAGGACCCAGCGGAGGTAGACCCCAAGGTGACTTGTGGAAGGTGGCCCAAAGCCCCAAGGGCAGTACTTACAGGGCACTTAGGGAAGGAGACCCTAGGCGCATGCAGCCTGAGTACTTGTGAAATTACTCCTGGCTCGTGCACCATACAGAAGCACACCACAAGGCACAGAACTGGAAAACTCAGGAGCCAGAGGTGCACGACCCTACCAGATTTACATCAGCCACAGAACTAGGGTGTGGATAGCCAGTGTGGGAATCTGGGGCTCCCCCCTTTTCCCTCCCGAGAAGGGGGGGGCGGGTTGCGCAGATGGCGGTGCAGTGACTTGGTGATATAATGCTCGTTTGCTTGTTTTCATTTGGGGAGTTCTGTCCACTACTTCGGCTCTCTGTAGTAATATTTTAACCAGAATAGGGGTTTGTTTTGGGGCACTTACCTTTCTGGGTACCTGACTCGGTTGATGGCAGACATAGAATTCCAACCATACGAAGATTTCTATAAGCCATTGCTCCTCGTGCCTTGAGGCGGGGCAAGGTTCTGGCTCGTGGTCCCTGGTAGGCCTAGAATTCCATGTGCATTGAGTGATGACAGAGTCTAATACATTCATATCAGCCCGGTTAGCTCCGGGGAGCCGAAGGGGCTACCCCACATAAAATACTATACTGTACTGTACTGTACTGTACTGGGGAAAATATGATTGGCTAAAAATTGGTATGCCAAATCAGTACATATTTTCAATGATTGTTTTCAGAAATCGGGGAATCTGGAACTATGTTCCAAATGAACAGTTCGGTTAACAGAATCCTTTTTCTTATTTGGAAGTTCTTGTAATAGGAACTTCCTGGTTTGTGGGAGGCTGCACTGTATGGTTATATATACTGCAGCCTCTGACCTCTGTAGACCAGACTACTTTAGACTGGATCCATACCAATCTTTCAAGGTTTACATTGCATCAAACTTTTCATGTTCTTCCTGACAGTGAGTCAAACTTTTATATTGCATAATTCACAGCCATTGAAGATAGGTATAGTAGTTTGAATACACTAATGATACTTATCTGTTCTACTACTGTAAAGTCATATATTTCTTTAGGTTTGGTGGAATGCCTTGGGGAAGGGAGCTGTTCCTGTGGTAATGGGGGCACCAGTGCAAGACTATAAAAAGATCCTGCCACCCAATTCATTCATACACATCAATGATTTTCCATCTCCTCGGCATCTTGCCAAACACCTAATGTAAGTAAGAAACCTGTTAAAGCAGTTTATTGGTAGTTATACATTAAAAGCAAAAATATGGTCAATTTTAGATGCAATTCTAATTTTTGTTGAGAAGTAAGAGTTATTTCTCTGTGATGTTATGGCAACTAATAATTGCAACTATATCACACTGCACACATATTGTGTTACTGGGGTAATGTTCTGGGCAATATCTCATGCCATGATACCAGGTGGTGTTCAAGATAGTCAAACATTTCTTGATATCAGGGAACATTTTAGATATTCTCACTTGCTCTAATACCAGGGAATGTATTAAATAGCCATATTTTGATTTGCTACACTAGTCAATTTTGTTCTTGAGTCAGTTTTCTGTTATTTGCTGCATTTATTTTTTCAATATACAATATTAGTAATTAGCAATTAAATATCCTCAAATTATAGCCAATTATGATAAATATATTTGGAACCTTATTTTCTTAGTTATAGTATACAGTCGTCAAAATTCATAAATGCTCATTATACACAAAGAATAATTTAACTTGGAACAATTTGGGAATGGAATCTGCAGCTGCACAACATGACAGAGGATGAAGGAAGCCCATAAAGGGGATTGAGATCTGACCAGAACTTCCTGGAGAAAATTTCCTTCACTGCAACTGAAGGCAACCTGAACGTGGAGCTGCCAAACCCTGACATCATCACATAGAGCCGAGGTAAACAGAGCATTATTAATATCCACAGAAGAAGTGCTACCGAGAATGACCTGAAAACTGGGGCCACCTCCTTTTAGTCTAGTACCTGCATTTAACAGTACATCTGCCACCTGCCTCCACCCAAAAAATAAGGTTGTCTACCAGCCAGGGTGAAGCTGGGCCCCTAACTCATACTGCAGGTAGGATACAGAAGAGGACCCGCACTGAAAAGAAGTCAAATCCAATTAAAAAACACGGTCTTGATTTGGAGGTCGTACGAAAGCAAGTCTGGTCAAGCTACACTCTGAGAAAAACAAGACAGAGTTTGACACTGTTAACCCTCTGGATAAATAATAACCTTCTGGATAAATTGCATCACATACTTTAAGCATTACCATGAAATGTACTAATTAAAACTCAAATTAATCTTAAGGAATGCCTGAAATGCTCTGCGTTATTAGTGGATTTATAAAAAATATCAATTTCATACTGAACTATGAAATCACTGTAAAGTAATCAGGTCGTCCTATTTTTTATAAATCAAATAATATTAATATTATTTTTATTATTATTATTATTGTTGTGACCAGTCTGCTTCATTGGCCAAATGAACTGCAATATTTAGACAAGAGAATTTCCTATGTATGCCCATTCTTTGCTATCATTCATTGAAGCCTACAAGTCATTAGACCATCAAACCACTAAAATCATATTAATTAATATTACATACATTGGCAGGTTCTTGGCTTCAAACCCCGAGGCATACAGCAAATACCATGACTGGCGCTCCAGATATCGGGTGCTGAATGAACACGGATACTTCGCCTCACAAGTCTTTCATTATTGCCGCATATGTGAAGCGCTCAACTATAATGATCCAGCACCCAAAGTTTACAATAATATGGAAGTGTTTTGGAATAAACAAACTCATTGTTTCCCGCCGACCTGGGAAGATAGGATGAAATCCCACACATTAACAAAATTGTAGCCTTGTGAAAGATTCCATCAAATTAAAGTTTTATAAAATATGTAATTATTGTACAGTTTTAGCATAAAGATTTGATTTCATACTGACATAAACTGTCATATATTCAGCTATTCTCCAATGAAAAAATGGAATACAGTAATGTACTTAAAAAATAAATAGGCTAGTAAGTTTTAGGGTACTATTTTAATATTAGGGGTCTTTACAGATTAACTCTTTTTATCTTATTGGGAAGAGCATTTCCAGTACATTAAAACAATTAAGTATAAAGCTTTAATGCACACAGTGCAATCTGATATTAGATTCTACAACATTTAATTCATATTTACCTTGGTACACTTTAAAAATTACAATGAGAAAATATAGAGTAACTTTATAAACACTAAAAACACTACATGATTTGAAAAGATCATGATGCAAATGAACATTACAGATTTATATACATCTGGCACCTCATGGCTATATAAGATTCAGATTCAGATTCAGATTCAGATGTTTATTCAGGTAAGGTATATACATACAAGTGATGTTACATTAATGGATTGATATATAGATAGAGCTAGTACATACAATGCCTAAAGCCACTATTACGCAATGCGTTTCGGGCAAGAAAACATTAATATCTAGAACTTAATACTAATTGAGCATAAAGAATAAAAGATGTTGAGAACAAATACAAATAAAGATAAAAAAAAAAGGGGGAACATGACTGAAAAAGCAGCACAAATACAATAGGTTGACAAACAGTGTTGATTAAAAAAAAAAGAAAATAACAGACATGGGTTGACAATAGAGGAGTGAGGTAGATTACAGGGAATTTATTAGGTAGTGTTTAGTTTTTATCTTAAACTGGTTGAGAGAGGTACAGTCTTTAACATGGTTGGGAAGGTCATTCCACATTCTGGGCCCCTTGATTTGCAGAGCATTTCTAGTTTGATTAAGACGTACTCTAGGAATATCAAAACTGTATTTATTTCTGGTGTGGTGCTCATGGGTTCTGTTACAACCTTCTATGAAGCTTTTAAGATCAGGATTGGCATTATAGTTTAGCGTTTTATATATGTATAATACACATGAGAGAATGTGCAGTGACTTAATATCTAACATATTAAGAGATTTGAGTAGGGGTACCGAGTGATGTCTGGGGCCAGAGTTGGATATTGTTCTAATAGCGGCTTTGTGTTGGGTAATTAGAGGACGTAAGTGATTTTGGGTAGTAGAACCCCAAGCACAAATACCATAGTTGAGATAAGGATAGATAAGGGAGTAATAGAGAGTCACCAGGGCAGGGCGTGGTACATAATATCTGATCTTAGAAAGAATGCCCACAGTTTTTGAAACTTTTTTTGATATATTTAGAATGTGTCCCTGGAAATTCAGCTTGTGGTCAATGAGAATGCCAAGGAATTTGCCATCTAATTTGTTACAAATTTGGGTATTGTTTATTTTGAGATTTATAAGACTAGAGGATTTATTGCCAAACAGAATATAGAAGGTTTTGTCAATGTTAAGGGTGAGTTTGTTGGCAGTTAGCCAAAGATGGACTTTATTTAGCTCAGTATTTACTGTGGCATTTAGAGCAAGAGGGTCAGGACTGGAGTAAATGAAGGTTGTGTCGTCAGCAAATAGAATTGGTTTGAGGTGTTGGGAGGCATTTGGAAGGTCATTAATGTAGATGAGAAAGAGGAGAGGGCCAAGTATGCTGCCCTGAGGAACACCAATGTTGATGGGTAGGGTGGGAGAAATTGTATTATTCACAGAAACATATTGGAGCCTGTCAGTAAGGTAGGACTCGAGGTATTGTAGGGAGTGTCCTCTGACTCCATAATGATGTAATTTAAGAAGAAGGTTATGGTGGTTGACAGTATCAAAAGCTTTACGCAGGTCCACAAATAACCCAACAGGGAACTCCTTTTTATCAAGAGCTGTATGAATCGAGTTAAGCATACTAATAAGTGCATCGTTAGTGCTTTTTTTGGGTCTGAAGCCATATTGGCAAGGGCTAAGTATATTGAGTTTGGCTAGATATGAGTAAAGCTGCTTGTATATAAGTTTTTCAAAAATTTTTGACAAGTTTGGCAGGATTGATATAGGTCTGTAGTTGTTAACATCTGTGGGGTCACCACATTTGTGGACAGGCGTTACTCTCGCTTTTTTTAGAATATCTGGAAAGGTTTGGAGTTCAAGTGACTTGTTGAAGAGCAAAGCAATAGCAGGGGCTAAAGATCTGGAGGCTTTTTTGTAAATTAAAGTTGGTATCTCCTCAAGGGCACCAGACTTGGTTTTAAGGGAAAGGATTATCTCATTGACGTCAGTGGAGTTAATAGGCTTTAGGTACAGAGACTGTGGATAGTTTCCTGTAAGATAGTCCTTAATGTCAGTACTGGAAGATGGAATATCATTTGCAAGGGATGAACCAATGGAAGAGAAGAACCTATTAGCAGTTACCTACTTTGTCATAACTAATTTGTATTTGTTTCTATTTACTGCAGTGTTCACTGAAATGGTCCAGTGAGAAGGATTCACTGGATTGGGTTCAGTATGTAGGATACACAGAATAGGACCCATTAAGCAGGATTTAATGGACAGGGTACAGTAAGTAGGAGATGGAATTTGGAGCTCTTGTCTCCACTGTCAATGTTAACACCCCTTTTTCCTATATCTGGAAGAAGGTTTCCAAGATTGTAGGTACAGGGTAATTTGGTGCCCATTATGGTTCCGTTATTGCAAAATCAATGCTGGTTGTCAATATGCTTAATTCACACTTTTTGGGCATTTGCACCAGTTTTCAGCTTCCTCCTAACATTCTTGCCCATAAATCCCATTCTCGATTTAATTTTTTAATGCATTTTGATACTTCTACAATGATTTCTTTATTATTTCTGAACTTTAGTCTGCTCTATCAATTTGCTATTTCACGTCAGCAAGCTCTGATTATTGTTACACAGGTGGGTTCAGGAACAGACTATTCTGACTCCTGTTAGCAAGCTGAGAGTTTCCCTGTTCCTTAGCTCATGGTAAACCTTGCCACAAATTCCCCCCCCCCCCCCCTGGAATATGACCCGCCAATCGGTTAATAACCAGGTACCCAATTACTGCTGGGTGAATAGAGGCGAACAGTTAAAGATTGGCACCTAGTCAATCTTCCTTGGCCAGGACTCAAACCCAGGACCACATTGCTTGTGAGGTGTGGGGTGAGTGTGTTACCACTGTACCACCAGTTGTTAGCTTTAGCTCTTAAGTATTAATGTTTAATATTTTGCTGTGATGAATATGTCAGAAATATTTTAGGTAGGCTAAGGGCAAAACTGTACAGTACATATCAGTTAAGAGTTAACATATAGCACTGTGATATTTCAGTTTAATATGCTAAATACTGTACTGTTAAATTGGACTGCATCATCTTAATTTTGTGGATTTTGATAGCTTCCCATAATTGCTTAGCATTAAACATTGTTTTCGGATAAACATAAAATAAGTACTATATTATCCTTTATATAAATTATGATGTATAGCTTAAATTTTAAGTTTTGGTATTCAGATGACATGTGTACCATATATATATATATATATATAGAGTGTTGTAGTTATATAATGTACATGTCTAGACAGTACTGTGTAACATACTATGTAAACGTTTGGTACTATAATCTAAGTCAGCTATAAAGCCAAGACAAATAAGAGTTCTTTTTTAAAACAAATGTACACATATTTTTATTGTCATGTACTTCTATAAGATGTTTCTGAGAGGGCTCCCTCAGCAACTTCCTGTAGCTAACCAACTAGATAACTCTACACATATGTTACACCTCACAGATCATACAAATCCATCTGTAGACCAGAGGCCTAAACCTAATCCTCCTTCCTCATAGAGGCACAAGAAGCTGGGACTACTAGATCACTCCTCTCTAAAAGATTAATTGACCAGAAAGGTAGAAGAAAATAAAGCAGACAACAGCTTTAATTAGCATTTATTATTTAGCTGTAATAAATATGTCCAAAATATTTCAGGTAGGCTAAGTGCAAGACTAATGTGCCTAGTGTTATAAATAAATAATAATAAATAAATAAATAAATGTTTATTTAGGTAAGGTACATACATACAAGAAATTTTTTACAAAGATTGGTGGACTTATAGATAGAGCTAGTACATACAATGCCTAAAGCCACTATTACGCAAAGCGTTTCGGGCATGAAAAACTTAAATGACTAGAGCTTAATACTAATTGAGCATAAAAGCTTAATACTAATTGAGCATAAAGATTGTAGGATTGTTAGGATTGTAGGATTGATTGTAGACTGTTAGAGTTGTAATGAACAGCTCTAAAACTAGGCACACAGTAGACAGGTCATTTCTCTGCTAAAATCTTACACTCACACCAGGTGGCAGGTCAGGAGGTTCCTATATGCCTGAAGTGAATCCATCGAGTATTTGGCTTGTGTGACCCTGTTTGCATGTGCTCTTCATGACACCTTTGCCCTTCAGATCCCAGGCTTCCAGATTAGTGTTGACCATCCTTTGGGCTCTATCTTCTCATTTGCTTGTGTTTCTTCCTGTTTTAGTATAAAGCTTTGTGTGTTTATATTCCTCACTTATTTTATGGACTTTGAGTTTACAGAAGTACCAGTTGTTTCTGTTGCAAATTCAGTCCTGGTTGGGGCTAGTCTGGGATTCTCGGTCGACTTCCTTTTCCTTACAACTGCTGGCCCTGCTGTGCTTGGATGCATGACATCGGCTAGTGTTGGAGAGTTCCCAGATTACTCGGCAGATGCTCAAACAGTTGTGAGAGAGACGAATTTTGCATGCACAGTTTGGCTCTAGGTTCTGTAGAAGTTTCTCTGCTTTCATCCCTTTCGCCCTTGCAGGGACCATTAAGTGGGGGGGCTTTATATTGGCCCTTCAATTGGCTCTATTTTGCCAGTTTCCTGTTTGGGTTTTAGGGGGTTTCAGTCCCTTGGCACCTTACTCCCTTGACACCTTACCTTTTTAATTAAGGCCTCATCCCTGGGAAAAATCTCATCCTCCTTGTCAGATGCACAGCACTGTTCATGGGTTCGCCATGGTTAGGCATGTGCTGCGGCTCCACTCCAATTGCTCCCAAGCTGTCATATTGAGATATTGTTCAGCCAACATCCTGTTTGGTGTTGGCAGCACTATATCTTGCTAATGTTGCTGGGCCACAGCGAGCGTGATTGACATTGGGTAGGGTTACCCAATGTTGATGTTCTTCTTAGGGATTGCTGGCTTTTGTCCATCTTTGCCTTTTGTGAGTCTCTTTCTTGCTTTTGTTCTTTTTGTTGAGATAGCTACAGGTAGTTGCCAAGGAAGCCTTCCTAAAAAAACAGCATTGAATGTAATGAAGCACCTATTTCTAGTGGATCCATCAATAGTTCTCTGATAACTTCTTTCCCCTTTCAGGTGGGTAGTTAGTCTTTGGTCATCTCATGACTGATAGGTTGACACTCA